AAATCATTGCTGCCAAGATCAGCTGGATACCAGTCACCAGCACGCTGAGAAATGAATGGCCAAAGAAAACCCCACGATATAATAGCTCCAAGAAGCACCGAGCAGTTCACTATATGAGGGCAGATAAGACCACATCCAACATAAGTTGGACTAAAGTCAAAATAGAACCTGCATTATGGAGCGTCACTTAAGAGTTCAGAGCCATAGCATCAAAAACTTCTCCATGCTAACCAAACTTGTATGACCAACCATTTTAATAATGTTAAACCACGATATTTTGAAAAAATGCTATTCCAAATAAGCACAGCCGTGACATGGAACTAGAACTACAGTAGAACCACATACACTAGCATATCCCTAAAGTATCCAACGAATAGGCCTGTTGAGTATCACTCAACAATGCACATATAAAAAAATCAAGGATTTATATCATATAAAAAAACTACTGTACAATATAACGCTCATGTAACAAAGCCAGCTCTATCCAGGTAAAATAGCCAAAGCAGAGAGGTAAATCTGTTGCGTCTAGAAGGCCACTAATGGAAATTCAATTGCAATGTATTGATGGAAGATCAGTATTAAGTGCACCCTTAACTCTCTCTTTTTTTTTAACCTCTTTAATTTCCTTTTTCATTATTCCAAATCCTAGTTTTCCGGTACTCGTTTGTGCCAAATAGTCTATTAAAAAAAAAATTCAAAATATTCCCCTTGACATATATTATAACAGGTAAATAATACAAGCGGAGAAGGCAAACAACAGATCTAAATAGTTACATTCCCTAAAAAGGGTAAATCTTATTTTCATTTGAAAATTAATTGCGATAACTCACCAATTCTCTTAGGTACTTTTATATATTTGGTCATGTGCACACGTTCTCTGCTCATAGGTTTTAGCAAAGAAAAAATTTCAATGCCTTACTATGGATTAAGAAGATAACATTAAGAAATCTGAAAAAATAAAATACCATAGAAGTGCACAATCAAAGGCCACAAACATCAATACTGTAAAGTGAGCAATAACAAAAAAAAAAAGAAAAATACAAGGAGCTTACGTGTTGTTGAACAGGGTCAATCCAAGGCTGGGAAAGTTATCAAATCCACATGAATCACCAATACCACTGAAGAACCATTTAAAGCAGCTCCAGATGAAACTTATGCTCAAGTATTTCCCAAGACAGCTCACCTGCTTCCTGAGAAATTAATGCATATCAATAGAAATTTCAAAAACACTTCAACGGAAAAGATCAAAGTCAAGCATGCACACTTTGGGATACATCTCCCATATATTTATATATTTAATAACACTTTTATGCCCAATAGACACTACCTGACAAATGACAGGCACTTGTATGACAGACCATGCGGTATCTTATATTTTTTGTTTAATTTCTAACAAGTGACACAACACGTCAAGCATGAGACAAGCCACATTTATCCCCATTATATTTAATTTCTAACAAGGGTAAAATGTTTTCAACACATCAAGTGTGAGACAAGCCCCATTTATATATTTTAAAATATATCTTTAATTATTAAATGAGTAAAATAGTCAAAAGTAATGCAAGAAATATTCTACTAACTTATCTACGCAATGTAATTTCGACCCATGAATATTTTTGTTTTGTTGTCGCAAGTAATGAATAGTATATTCCATAGTTATCTTGAAAAAAAAAAAAACCACCTCTACTTCATAGTTTTCACCTGTAAAATTCAATATCAAGGCTAAAAAGAAGCTTTAACTATATGTTAAGAATCCAAGGAACTTAGTAGCGTTAGTCAAACAAGAAGAATGATGGCAATGGGGCAGGGGGCGGGTGGCCATTACCATCCTTGCTTCATCAGGGAATTAAAAAATCCAAATTAACCGTCCCGTTTAACTTATTAATTAATTTTTAAAACTAATATTTATTTTTTAAATATGATGTAAATTGAAAAATAAAAAGATAAAAAAAATTCGGGGCTGGTACAGGGTTGGGACCATGATCCCTGTCCCCACCTCGTTTATTATTTGGGGAGGGGAGACGATGCAGGGCTGGACGGGAATTTTGAACTCCCTCAACTTCCTAACATATGCTCCCCAAATAAAGAAGCAAAAAGTTCCCTGCTTGTAAAAAATAGTGTTCTATCTTATTGAAATTATATCAACCTTCTTCAAACTTGCATAAGAAATGAGTAGCATTTGCCAACCTTATGCATATTGACAAACAAAAATTGAAATTTGAGAAAAATGATAAATCTATATGTACATAATTATTGTACATAATGGATTATATTGGATCATGTGGAAGAAATTTGGCTGTAGATGTGAAGTGTGGAAAAGTCAAAAATTGTAGACTACTGATGGATGCGTGCCACATGTNAAAAGTCAAAAATTGTAGACTACCAATGGATACGCGCCACATGTCAATTATGTAATGTATTATGTAAATGATTATGTACTTATAGCATTGTCCTGAGAAAAAAGTTAAAGATATATCTTAGTATACCTGGCAAGTTCAGCTCCAGTATTTGTATGGAAGCTATTGATCAACATTGCTGTGGCAGTTCCACTGGGATATGTCAACTTATAATCCAAGACCATAACCTTAAATTAAATGCAAACATACTATTAGTTATAAT